GGCTAAAGCATTTCCAAAGCCAAATAAGTAACTCTGCTTAATAAAGAATCTTAATGGTTGGGAATTATGTACAATGTCTTCATAATATACTTTCCATTGTAATGAAGTGTGATGTACACCTGACTTCTTACTCTAATGTTTGTACACCTTGAGCCCTCAGGCTTAAACTGAGATTCATGGGCTCAACCATGAGGTTATGAGGCTTGGCATCTGAAACGATTGACGCATCTTCTCCAGTATCCCAATTCTAACTGGTTTATCTGCTATTTACTTTAATCTCGGTGTATCCAAATTCATCTGACAGTTCTTTACCATCAAGGAAATTGAATTCTTGCTCTGGGCCTGTCCCTCTGGAAGAGTCATCCTATCACTTTTTGTGCCCCACTGCTTTGATTCCCACAGCCCTCTCTGGCCTGTGTTTAATTTTCTGTGCTGCTGTCACCTTACAGCGGTCTCTCTCTCTTTGCACTTGTGAGTCTCCGTAAAAGTCACCGGGATACTAATGCAGATCCTCTATGGCTTGGACCATGCCTGTTCTTTCAAGCACTTGCCATCCAGTGTAGTTTTTTGAGAGCTTGTTTCCCAGCCCAATCTCTGGAAGTAATTTTGTTTCAGTATTGTTTTGCTTATTCAGGCCTATTTGATTCATTCCTAATTCCAACAGTATACTCCACCAGGGCCCTTCTCCTACACTTTCTTTAACTTCTGTCTGGGCTTTCTGCAGTTCAGTGTCTCAAAGATCATTGCTAATGAGCCTTGTTGTATAAGACAGTTGATCTGAAAGAGTTAAGTGAAATCTTTGGAATAACTAAACCCCCCATTGATATGTAAATGGATGATTTAGTCAGTTTGTTGTTTATGCTTAGTTTGACATGTAGACATCTATAGACATGTAGAATTGACCTATTTAATATACTTTAGGAGATAGCAACCTCTTACTTAATGTTAATACAGTTAACCAGTCTCAAGCTAATGGTATCCGTTGTCTTATTATGTAATAATCTGCTTCTTTTTACTCAAGTCCCCAGCAGTAGAGGCACAGGTTTAATTCATGGTTAGTACAGCTGACTACTATTAAGAAAACAGTTGGTGGTAGCAGATCTACCCAAAGAAGATCCCATCATAAACAGATACTAGCTGTGAGCATCTCTAACTATGGGCCATGACCACTGCTGAGCTTCACTTAGAGTATTTTACCACTTCTGGGTTTGGATCACTGTGCTGGCCTCGTGGTTTACCATTACTGGTCTTCACTTCAGGCTGTTGCCTCCCACCTCCAGCATGCATAACGAGAGAGATGTGAATAAATAGCGTGGATCTAGTCAATACTTTCTTTGCAGCTCTTCCTATGTCACTGCCTTAGACAATGGCAGAAGGCCTTCATCTCAAGCTTGACTTCTGTTCTGGCATTGCTAGGATCTTGATGACAAGAGATTCCTGAGTCAGGAAGAAAAGGTCCTTAGGCCTTCTCCAGAGAGAAAACAGATATGAGGATGGCCATCATCTAGATGAGGCATTATTAGATGGGTTTCCTTTGGTCAGCCCAGGGAGCACCACAATAACTCTTCCCACCTTTCTCCCTGACTGTTCACTGTGAGAAGGAACTGGTTTCTGAGCTAGAATATGGTAAAATGGTGCACCTCGCTTTCATTCCCTCCTAGTCATCCACCAAATTCTCCCTCTTTTTCCTTTGCCACACCCATGTTAGGGTTAGCCTCTCCTCTGTCACCCTGGAGCCTCCACCCCTCTACACTGGACCCCATTAAAAATTATGATCCACATGCTTGAATTCCCCTTCCACCCCTGAGCCCACACCCATCACCATCACATGCTTACCGTGACCCTTAGTTCCCCTATTATCCAAGTTACCTGCTCCTTCACTTTTGGAGATTCCCCCACCCCATGTGACCATCCACTTCCTATCCATGACCCTTGAACTCTGACCCTACTGTGTGTCATTTCTATCTATTGGTGTAATGATTCCAATACCTTCCCAGTCGGGTCATTTTAATTCCCTGGACCTCAATGTTGACAAAATTGACCCAACCCAATTTCAGCAAATCCTCAATCACTATCCCTGCTAAAGCGATCAATGGGTATGGTGAAAATATGAGAACAGGATATTGATTTGGATGATCAGCCACGATCATATTGAATGACAGAGCAGGCTAGAAGGACTGAATGGCCTACTCATGCTACTACTATTTAAGTTTTGGTTAGTGAAGCCCCTCCCATTTGTAACTCCACTATTCATGTTCACACACCTTGCACCCTTCCACTCTTACCCTGCCTTCTTGCCCCATGCCTATTAGACCCTAGCATGCCTCCCTCAGTCATCCTCCGTGCCCCTAGGTTTAGACCATGGAAACCCACTCTCTATTGCATCATTATGGCATAAATTAACACTTCCCATAGCTTAAAAGCAGCGGCTACTCATTCCAGAGTCCTGCAAGACAACTGTTTAGGCGAGGTGATGGACTAGTGGTATGATTGTTGCACAGTTAATCCAGAGACTCAAGTAATGTTCTTTTTTTATAGAATCCCTACAGTGTGGAAACAGGCCCTTTGGCCCAACAAGTCCACACCGACCTTTGGAGCATCCCACCCAGACCCATCCCCCTAGAACCCACCTAAGCTACACATCCCTGAACATTATGGGCAATTTAGCATGGCCAATCCACCGAGCCCGCACATCTTTGGACTGTGGGAGGAAACCGGAATACCCGGAGGAAACGCACGCAGACACGGGGTGAATGTGCAAACTCCACACAGCCAGTCACCCGAGGGTAGAATTGAACGCGGGTCGCTGGCGCTGTGAGGCAGCAGTGCTAATCACTGAGCCACCATGCCACCCAGGACCCAGGTTTCGAATCCCACCATGGGAGATGGTGGAATTTGAATTCAATACAAATCTGGAATTAAGAGTCTAATGATGACCATGAATCATTATTGACTGTTGGAAAAACCCATATAGTTCACCAGTGAAAGGAAGGAAATTGCCATCCTTTATCTGGTCTGGCCTACATGTGACTCCAGACCCACAGTAATGTGGTTGACATTTAACTGCCCTCTGGGCAATTCAGGCTGGGCAATAAATGCTAACCTAGCCAACGATGCTGTCATTCCACGAATGAATAAAAAAATCTTTCCAGCTGCACCATCTGTTATGTAGTCATGAATCTGAAAGTACATATTGCTTGCTTGTGCAGAATCTACTTGGGAAGGAAAATTTGGTTTTGGTGCGCTGGCCTTTTGGTATGCATGATTGAGATTCAAATGCACATGGAAGTGCTTCTCAACACCTGTCTTTGGGGAGCTAGACCTGTCTTTTAAAGTTCCAAGAACTTAATTGCCAAAGGTCAACCCACCGTCTGGATTTTGAATTTGGGCCTCCACTCCCACGGTGCCATTTGGACCAATATTATGAGGTAGATATTCAGTATTTAAGAAAGACTTTCTTCCATCACTTTACACTATGCTCCAAGGCTTTGCAAGCTGTTTAACAGGCTTCAATCACATTTATTCCCTGCCACAGAACCAATACAGTCATCCTGTGTCCATGCTGCATGATCCCTCCTTGTCCTTTGACATTTTTGCAGCCTGCACCACAAGTGTCCTCCTTCATGTTTCTCTTCCTTTGTGCAGCCAAGTAAAATTGCCCAAAATTGTTCTATTTTAATTTAACTAGTATCACAAGAGACTCCCCTGCAATGGCTTCTCATCTCTGTCTATTACCTTTAATGCAATCAATCAATCTATCATCCAGTGAAGTTTCCTTGTCTGTCTTTCTCTCCACTCTAGGTGGGCCTGGTTGATTCTGCACATGGTGTAAATTGTTGTAATGTGTAGAGGTTGGAGCCTGAGCTGTAGAATTGTATGATTTTAAATGGTTGTGTGATCAATAATTTTGAAAATTAGTGGGATCTGCAGTTCACTTTAAAATTCAATTAAAAATGTGTGGTCTATGTCATTAAGTTCATCGTTTCTAAATTCAAATCATTTAGTAACTATTCAGCCCTGCTGCCTTATTAGTAATTTATAATTCAAAGTATTAAGAAAATGTTAGCACCAGAAACAACTTTGAACTATTATGAGTAAACTCCATCAGTAAAGTTTTGTGAAAAGTTAGGTTGTTTTGTTGAAGACTTTAATTGAAGAGTTGTTATTGAAACATTTGTGACAATTCAGAAAACCAAAGCATCAATACCAGCCGACATCAAACAAAAATCATTCCAAACCTCATCAGAAGGCAGAAGTATATTAAAAGGGTATCTTGTGTGATCCTGTTTTTAGTTATTAAAAACAAAGCCAATAACAAAAGTTAGTCATTTTGCTGATTATAACTGACAGCACGAAACAGTAGAGCGCCAAACTGAGCTGAATGTTACCATTAAGTGAGCTGTAGGCATGCTTTTACTCTGAATCACACAATAAGATGACAAAGAGAATTCTTTTGCCAAGGTTAGGAAATGTCAAGACAAATCTGGAGCTGAATAGCAGATAGTTAGCCTCCTGAGAATTTTATATTAAAAAAGGATGTCATAGGTGTACAGTAATGTGATACAAAATCAATAACTGAGATAGCAAGCCATAGGGTTGTCCAGGAGATTAACAGCACTAAATTTTAGTGAAAAAATAATAATTTCACCAATATTTGAAGCCCATTATATTAGCTAGGCCCATTCTTAGTAATAGATTTTCAGATTTTTGAAAATCTCAATTTGCAGAATACTTTAAAAAAATTCTCGTGAAATGATTTACAAAAATGAGAGAAGGAAAAGCTTAGGGTCTAAGAAAACTACGCAGAGCTGGGTAATAAATACTGCATTTGGTTTTGTCTCGGTATATTATGATTTTGCTTTCCCCCATCTTTCTCTACTTTCTCCTAAAGTGCTCTAAGTTTTTGAATCCTTTTGAAAAGTTTGCTCCTTCACATTTTGGTTTAGCCAATTTCTCTTCATTGTGCAAGGAAGTACAAAATTTTTGCTATATTTTCACAGGAAAAACAGATAATTTAATCCCAGAAGATAGCTATATAGATTCAGGAGAAATTGATGTCGGGCGGAGAGTCACCCAGAAGATACCACCCGGCTTATTCTGGCGCACTCAAGTGTTCATAGATCATCCAATGTATTTGAAATTTAACGTGTCACTGGGCAAGGATGCTCTGGTTGGGATTTATGGTCGACGTGGTCTACCCCCATCTCATACACAGGTAAATATTACTTCAGTAATTCAATCATGTGAAGACAGAACTAGCATATTTTTTAATATGCACCTTGTTTGATCTTCGTTTGATGTGACAATTTCCCATTTTATCCAAATGTAACCATTAGAGAGCTATATTCAAAGCTGCCAGGAGGTTGCAACAATGGTTTTCGCAGCAGTGAGACAAGGCTGCAGTTATCCCCTTTCTAGAGTTGACAAAGAAGGTTGCTGGATGGGCATTTAATTGGGCAAGTTGGCCCCAGAGAGATACCTGCCCCTTCTCATCATCTCAACAGTTAAGTGCTAAGCAATAAGACTTGACTTGGTACTAGGTAGGGCTATTAAATGGCAGGCACAAAAAAATGAATGGTTTCCGTGGAAACGAGGGCAGCCTGCCTAGTTGAGGGGCGGGCTGCATTTGCTGTAATCTGGGGCAGAAGGAATTCAAATGGACAGCCGCTGAAGACCACCTCTTCATCCCTGCCTCCAATCCCCTTGACCCTCCCCTCAGCCCGCACAATGAGACTAGTACAATCTCCCTGTTGTCATGTTCTTGTGCCTCAGCTAATAAAGGAGGTAGTCCATGTGTCTTTTTAATGATTTCTTCTACCTGTCCTGCTATCTTCAGAGATCTATGAACATGCTCTCCAAAGTCTTTCTGCTTCGCTTCACTTCTCCGTATCTGACCATTTATTTTGTATTCTTTTGCTTACGTAACATTCATGCCACACAAATGCATGGCAATGGCCTTCTGCATGAAGAGACAATCTAACCACCGCCCTTTGACATTCAATGGTGTTAAATTCACTGAAATCCCACTATCACCATCCTGGAGGTTACCATTGATTGAAAACTGAACTGGATTGGCTGAAAAATACTGTGGCTTCAACTGCAAGTCAGAGGCTAGGGATACTGTAGCAAGTAATTCACCTCCTAACTCTGCAAAGCCTATTCACAATGTACCAGCCCAAGTCAGGAGGGTGATAGAATACTGCCTCCACTTGCCTGGATGAGTGCAGCTCAAACAGCACCATCCAGGACAAAGCAGCCCACTTGATTAGCACCACATCCACAAACACCCATTCCATCCTCCACTGATGCTCAGTAGCAGCAGTGTGTACTACCTACTAGATGCACTGCAGAAATCCACTGAAGATCCTCAGAGAGCACCTCCCAAACCCACAACCACTTCCATTTAGAAGGGCAAGGGCAGCAGATACATTGGGAACACCACTACCTGCAAGTTCTACTTCAATCCACTCACCATCCCGACTTGGAGATATATGGCTGTTCCTTCAGTGTAGCTGGGTCAAAATCCCGGAATTCCCTCCGTAACAGCATTATGGGTCTATCCACATCACATGGGCTGCAGTGCTTTAAGAAGGCTGCTTACCATTACCATCTCAAGGGCAACTAAAACCGGGCAATAAATTCAAGTCCAGCCAGAGACTTCCACATCCATGTGAATATAAAAAAGAATTCGCCTTCCCCAGATTTTTACTTCATATTTCTCTAGACTGGATTCCGTTGGCACTTTCCTGCTGCCTAACCCTACAATTAATGTCTTCCTGCAGCTATCTTCTGCACTATTGACACATCAGCAATCTTTACATCATCTGCATACTTCTTAATCATGGCCCCTATATTTAAATAATTATGTATGCCGTGAAAAGTAAAGTACCAGCCCCATGGAAATTCACTGAAAACAGCTATCTGTTTAGAGGGGAAAAAGCACCAGCCATTACCCTTTTCACCCTGCACTGATCCAGTTTAAGATCTAACTTGTCACATCCCCTTGGATCCTATGGATTTTTATCCTGACCTGTTTGCAATGCGGGACCTGTCAAAAAAAAACCTTGTTAAAATTCATGTAGATTACATTAAAAATATTCACATCACTGACCTCTTCTGTTAAAGAGTTTTAAAGATGACTTTTATTTATTTCAGTGACGTATTTTTTAAATGTGAACTTCAGTGGTTGAAAATCAAGTTATTCAGAGATGGTGGATTGGCACTTTCAGCTGTTTTAATGAAATGTCACCAAGGTATCACTTTTAAATATATGAAGGATTTTTTTTAAAACTCTTTTTTTCTCAAAAGGGTAATATTTAAAAACATTGCCTGTTTACACTCATTCACGGCAAAGTTACCTTTTGGCAATATGTTGTTAGTTTTAATGGAAACTTGATTGCAGAGAAAGGACTTCACAAAACAAACAGATTGTGCAATTTGTGCTGAAATTGACACATTGTGTACAACGTAGAAACTGTAACTTTTATTGTGCCTATGATCAGTTCAGTTCAGCTCAGATCCTGTAGTGTAAATGATTAATGAAACTATTTTTTAAGGTGAGGCTAAAAGTAAGTATTTGGTTGAAAATAATGTCACAACTTAGGATCCTTGTATTTTCTTTTTAATTTATGGATCTATTTGTTTTATGCTTTTTGTATTACCTTTTCCTGCTCTTTTTTAAGTTCCAGGCATCTCCCCATTGTCCAGTGGAATTTCACGCAAGACGTACTGTATCAAGATGGCTTAGCATTGTGTTACTGTCTCTTTGGCTTTGTTTTGAAAGTATCAGATATACTGGAAGAAAGGTTTTTTTTTTGCTGTAATCTGAAAAACATTGAGTTGATTTCTTTGCTTGAGGAAGAACTTGCATCATTGAAGCAGAATGGAGTTGCAATCAGGAGGGATTGGATGCAATGATAGATGGCTTTAAAACTGAACAAGACTATTTGAGGCAAGGAATAGTCTGATTCAGAACCTCAACCATTGCCTGACTAAAGTCAGCTATTGTAGGCTCCTGCATAGCTGGCTCTCGGGAATAGGATTTTGTGCAGCATTACTATAAAAGCTGATTCAATCGGGCAGGTGATATTCTGAGATTGATGTGTACAGTGGTTATCGTGCAGCAATTACAGCAATGTATTTTATCACTTGTTTCTGGTAGTTTGGCTTTGTGGAGTTATTGGATGGCAGACGTCTGCTAGCACAGGAAGTGAGAAGTCTGGAGGGATTCCACCACCGGCACAGAAGCTTGATCCCTCTGACAAATCGAGAGACAGGATTCATTAGATATCTGGATTCTGGAATCTGGCATTTAGCCTTCTACAATGATGGAAAACAGATGGAGCTGGTCTCCTTTATAACCACTGCCATAGGTAAGCTCTTACCAGCATATAATGAAAAGATATTTTAAAACATTGCAAAACATACCAATTGCATTTATAAATCTTTGCTTATTTCTGTGAACAAAGAGGACTAGTGATTGGTTTCCTAATGCATAAAATATGACAAAAGTACTGATACATTCAAAGTGCTAGTTTGTCTGACCTGTACATTAACAATTAGTTTAACTATTCAAACATTCCACCATTCCATTTTATACTTATTTATGTTCTTCGGTGCAGTATTCCCCACTTAATCCTTGTGAAATGTGAACAGCTGATGTTCTTTTATACGAATATTTCAAACTTTTCACATTTATAAAAAGCACAGTTATAACTTTACATTTCCCATTTATAAGATTACATAAGATGCATGGAATAGAAACAGATCAATTGGACCAACCAGTTCATGCCAATGTTTATACTGTACTTGATGCTCTTCACATATTTTCTGACCTAAATCCTCTATCATATCATTATTTTCTCTTCACTTTAATATGCTTATCTAGTTTCTCCTTAGATATATCTGTAGTAGTTACTTGCATGGCTCTCTGTGATAGTACTTTCCACAGTCTTGCTACTCTTTGAGTGAAGGTGATTCTTCTGAATTCCTTGTTGGATTCAGGATAAAAATTATGATAATTATTATTGGAATAAATATTGTTGTTGAAATGGGAGCGTGCTAGTTTAGCTGGACATGTTAAGTTAGAATTATCTGTGCCAAGTCCAAAGACACTAAATCAGCCAAAATGTAGAATAAAAACCGTTGAATATTTTCTTCTTTGGACACATAAAAAGAGAACAAATGATCCACTGATAGTTAGTTGCAAATAGAAACAGATTTTGGTGGGCTTTCCAATCTCTGATGTGCTAAATTCTGCATTTGTCTTGGATTGTACTTATATTTAAACTGTGTTCATTCTTACTAAGTTCTATTAATTACATAAAGTGGAATTAGTAAACAGAAGACTGCCGAAATCTGCAAGATTTTGTGAAGAATTTTACATGAAAGAATTCAAGCTAATTTGGACCATTACTTAGAGCACAGCACTCTGATTGAATTCCAGGCTGTTGGCAAATTCCTTTTACAGTTTTATTTATTCTTCGTAAGCAGTATCTGCTTCCAAAGCCCTTTATTGTGGAGTTTGTTTGTTAACAGCAGAAGTATATCTAACAAACCTGTCCTAGTTTTAATTAATTAGTAGCATAACATTCCCTTGCTATATCCCTCAGTTCATTCTCCAGAAGCAATTTCAGTTGCCTCTTGAGCACAATATGGTGTCTGCCCACTGTTGGTCCATTTTTACAAAATGATGTAAAACTTGAGTGTTAATCGCTGATGATTTGTAATTAGGGTAAGGTGCTTCACCAATGTTCCTTCATATGTTACTCTAAGGGGCTGTTCAGTAGTCTGTGGTGGAGGATGGACCATGAAAATGTCTCAGCAGAAGATGCTGTTCTGCAAAAACAGAAAAGTAATTTATTTAATCTCAGTAACTATAGACAGTTTACATTAACTCTGAGGCATATTAATTAATGCCAGCAAACCTTAGCAAAAAGCATGTTTCTCCATCAGGAAACTCTGTCAAAAGCAATAACACATGCAAAAATACTGTGAACCATCTAAATTGAGTTAAAATTCAGGTCATGTTTTTTTTCCAAATGTTTGCCAAAACAGACTCTGTTTTGGATGCTAAATTTGATTTGAAGTTTGAGCCTACTTTATTATCTTTTTATAAATTTGAAATAAAATGTAATTATGGGGAAAGGCTTGTGGCTGTCCCAGATATTGAAAGATAGACTTTTGTTGGTGCTGTCTGATAAGATGACAACTTGTACAAAGTACCTTAGTCCATAAAACATCTGTACAGCAGGTTAACTTACATGCTCTTGATTCGGTTGTTGTGACATTGGGAAATCCTATGACATGTTTTTTGAATCAGAGATAGTAGGAACTGCAGATGCTGGAGAATCCGAGACAACAAGGTGCAGGGCTGGATGAACACAGCAGGCCAAGCAGCATCATAGGAGCAGAAAGGCTGACGTTTCGGGCCTAGACCCTTCATCAGAAAAGGGGGAGGGGAAGGGGGTTCTGAAATAAATAGGGAGAGAGTGGGAGGCGGGAGGTGAGTCTCACCTTTACTGGCTCCATCCCCGCCTCTTCGACCTGTTTGTTTCCTCTCCACCTATCCTCTCCTCTATCCATCTTCTATCCGCCTCCCACTCTCTCCCTATTTATTTCAGAACCCCCTTCCCCTCCCCCTTTTCTGATGAAGGGTCTAGGCCCGAAACGTCAGCCTTTCTGCTCCTATGATGCTGCTTGGCCTGCTGTGTTCATCCAGCCCTGCACCTTGTTGTCTCACATGTTTTTTGAAGTTTTCTAATCCTCTTATAATAAATATCATTGAAAATTAATTCTATGGAAAATGGGAGATCCAATCACATTACACAATAACTATTGTTTCCACTGCTGGGTAGTCTCTCATTAGCTCACTATGGGACAATTCATTTTGTTATACAGTATATGAAATATTTAGGTTCAGAAGATAATTGAGTATCTGCGGCTTCTATCATAGCATGAACTTTTATCTCACCTGTCGGTTTTCTGAATCGGGACAAAGAGAAATGATTAGCCTAGTTTCTAAGTTTTCTAAACTGCATTCTGTTAGAATAATGTGTTTCCTTATACTTCTCTGAGTAAAACATAAATTAAGTCTGTGAGGACTGTTAAATTTAGCATTTTTCGCCATGCATTGCAAGGCAGCATAAGCTGTAAATAGATAAAGAAAAGTTATATCGCAACTCTGAGAGAAATACAATTTTTTTTTAGTAGTCATTTCTTTTTTGGGTCAGGAATTCTTTTCAAGTTATGTTTATTGGCCCAGGTTTTGTACTGTAGATGATTAAAAATAACCATGAAGCTACTTCCAATGATCATTATTAAAGAGTAAATTGTACAACAGCTTCCAGCAGCCTGACATGCAATGTGTAAATTAACATTTTATTGTCTAAGTTGCTCAGTTTCATCAGGAGTTTCACCATACTAGTATCTCACCAAGAGAAAAGTTTAACCACTCAGTACCCACTGGTCAGAAAAGGTGCATATTTTCCAGTCTTTGGTATGTCTTATTTACTGACCATCTCTTTGAGACAGAAAACAAACGTTTTTCAAATGTGGAGTCTTATTCCTTAAAATTTTAATTATCTGGGGAGATTTAAAAAATTCTTTTGTTTCAGTCTTTTTTCTTTATCTTTCTCTATTGATCCCACCTTCCTTTCTCTTTATTTCACTTCCTTTGATGTTTGATTTAGTATTTCATTAACAATTCAAACTATCTTGTTCTGACTCTGCATGGCTAAGTAAGAACTCTCCGATGTGATTGGTTGAAGAGCTATGCTGTTACTTGCCCTGTTGACAAGACTCCAAGATTCCCTTTTGCAGAAAACTTGCTGAACTGTAGTTCTAAAAACTACAAATTCCAGTGAGATACTGCTTAGAAAGTCTTTGCAGACTGTGGGCAAGGTGACTGTAATGAAGGGTCAATGTCCTTTGTTCATAATTGACAACAACATTGGGCCATTGTTTCTCCACACCTCTTGATCAGCGTTTATTAAACATTTTGTAACTATCTATTCTCTATGTTATTGCACATAAGAAGAGAAGAAACTTTATCTGATCCCATGTTTGTGCAAAATTCTTAGTTGCAGATGTGGTCCAGGAGCTCTGCAGGGATACCTCTGAATAATTCCTGTTTGCTCCTGTCAAATAACCAGAATGTTACAAATTTAAGCCTCATCTTGTTCAACAGCTGCATCAGATTGTTGGACAGAAGTTTGAGGGAGTAAACAGTTTTCCACTGCAGCAATGCATCTCCTGATGGTCAGTCACCCAGCATGTGTGTGGTGTTCATGAAGTAAATTGGAGGCTGAATGATCCCGCTCTCAGGTGGAGAGACAATACGCTGGAGCAGTAAAACTGATGCATATCATTATAGTCATTTTTTAAAGGAATAAATATAGCAATGTATTAATAAATTGTCGATCTCTTTAGTTAACGTTATACGTTAGGAAAATGTAATCTCAGTCTGTGATTTCAATTCCTCTCAGAGTCTGCAGATGAATGTCCAGCCAACTGTTATGGGAATGGAGAATGTATGGCAGGCACATGTCATTGTTTTCTAGGCTACATTGGACTGGATTGTGCACGAGGTAAAATCTTCTTGTCACTGCTGTAGGAACTCGTTAAAACCTATTTTATTATAATCTTGATTAAATATCCGTGAGTTGATGTCCTTATATGCAGTCGGTAATTTCTTTCGGTTCAGGGGCCGGATTTTATTGAATTGGGATGACTCGGGATGCTTTTAAAATGGCAGTTGTTATCTGATTCCAGCATTTCTGCCCACATTCACAATCCTGGCATCTATTTCTGGATCAGGATCAGGATAAGGGAGCAGCTGGTGAAAATGCATGCTACTCTCCCAATTTGCAGAGCTCGGCATCTCATAATCAGCCTCCTCCTCCCACAGCTTTCACGGAGTCCAGCTAGCTTCTCATGGAATATGCCTCACAATCCCCAGGATTCAGGAATGTTTTGAAGGTTATGTTGGAAAGGGTTTTACCCATGACCCCTCCCTCTTCTTTGGCCTTTCTGCATCCTATGTGTACACTCACCCAATATGCTCCAGAAAACTATATATTAACAATTACGAGTCTTCAAATGAATTATAAAGAAACACGCACTTAAAATCTCTTTTGACAACAGATGTTCTTACAATCCTGTAAAACTGTCAGTCGGTCACGGCCATTATAGTATCAATTACAGAAGCATTACCTCACTTCACATTTCTTTATCCTGTCCAAATAAATACACAACGTTGGAAAGAAAACAATTCAAAGAAAGAATTACTTACTCCAATCTCATAATGGCTATCAAAGTAAACACTCCAGTTCAGCCTGTGTAAGCAGAACCCAGTAAGTTAATACATTAGTGAGCTTTGGAGCTCAACTAAGCATTCATAATCAGACTATTTGTTAACTGTATTAAAAGGAACAGATAGCCAGTCATTTATTTCTCCAAAGGAGTTGGAGAGAAGGATCCAATTGTTATAATCCAATTGGGTATCCATGATACAAGTAGCACTGAGAAATGAGATTCTGCTAAGGGTATATGAGCAGCTTGGGTTCGATTAAAAAAAACTACAAAGGCCTTAATTTTTTATTACTTTCTGAGCCACAGGTGACTGGCACAAGGTAAGTAAGATCAGAGTTGAATATACGGATCAAATATTTATGTAGGAGAAATGAGTTTCAATTATGAGGCAATGGGGAAAGGGAGGTCTGTTCTATGGTCCAAACTTCAGACTGGACTAGTATCCTAATGATTTATATAACTAAGGCTGTAGAGAGAATGCTAAATGAAATAGTGTGAGAGAGAGCTCATGTGAGCGGAAATTTAAAAACTTAATGAGAAAGAAGCAGGAAATAATGCAGTTAGCAGCACACATTATGACAACCAGTCTGTCAGGAAAAGACAGAGGGTGCAAACATAAGAATACACCAGCAACACAGGATCTTGTGGCAGAATGGTAAAGTTACTACCTCTGAACCAGGAGGCCTGTTTCAAGTCCATCCTGCTCCAAAGTTGTGTCATAACATCTCTGAACAGGTGGGTAGAAAATATTTACACCAACAAATAGGGTCAAAAATAGGGACATTGCACAAAAGCATAATTAAAGGCTTCCATGCTTGATAAATTTGTTAGAGTTCTTTCAGAACGTCACAAGCAGGCCGAAGGAAGGGGTCCTGCAATGAATTTCCAAAAGCATTCAATAATGTGCCGCACAAAAGGTTAGTTTACAAGATAAGAGCTTATGGTGTTGTATTAATACATTAACATTGAGAGAGGATTAGCTACTGAATGGGGAACAGAGAGTTAGGATAAACGGTGAATTTTCAGATTGACAACTTGTAACCAGTGGAGTATTACTAGGATCATTGCTGGGTTGTCAATCATTCATATACTGTCTTATTGTCTTGAATGAAGTAGCTGAGTATATTGTAGCAAAATTTACTGATGAACAAAGATAAGTGGTTTGTGAGGAAGACATGAAATCTAAATTTTAACAAGTGAAAGGGGCTCCACAACTTAGTCAAAAAGGCACAACCAACCTGAATCAAACTCACCAGGGAGTGGGAGAAGCTTCACGCATCTGTAATTCACAGAGGCATCAGCATATTTAAAAGTGCAGCTACCTAGACTCAGAAGCAATAGCCACCACCCAGGTTTCTGAAACATTACATGAGGGCTTCATAGATTTGATGACAATGTCAAAACCTACTGCAGTTCTTTGGAGAAGAGAGGTCAGATACCTACTTGTGGATATCTAGAAGTAGACATGAGGCTAAAGTCTGTGGAACTGACAAATTATTTAAAACCTCTGCTCTTTAGATTTTGAAAGTAAAGCCCAACCTGCTGCGTCTCACAGTTGAAAAAACACTGCTTGGAATTTCAATGAATATTTGTTGAGAGAACCTTGAGGGTGAGGGCTACCATTGTATTATTAATGCTTGACTGTTCCTGGAGCTTATTATTGTGCAGCACCTGTACCATTGATTGATAACCCCATAGGGTTGTAAGGCAAAGAACTGGCTTTAATGTGGGGTTATGATTACAGATAATTGTTCCCATAAGGGGTTGAGTATTTGAAGGGATTTAGCTGTGTTGAATGGGTTTTTAATCAATGAGAGTTTTTTTAAGTATAGTGACGTCTGTGATAGATGCTTAGAACTATCCCACAATTTAATCTCAGCATGGTTTCTGATATTAGCGTATAGTGGAATAAGGGTCGTGGAAGTAGAGGGATCCTTGTGTTAGCATGGCTGAGATAGGTAGGTTTTGATCTTTAAGAGGATCGAAGGTTGAGGGAGCAGGAGGGAGCTGCAGGCAGGAATATGGAGTTGTGGCCCCAATCAGATCAGCTATGATCGTATTGATTGGCTGGACAGGCTCAAAAAGCCATTGGGAGTCCTCATCCTATTTCTCTCAGTCTTATAATTGGCTGCCCAGCAGTCAGCACACCATTGAGCTTCTAACCTTGGAAATGTCAGCAAAACTTGTGGCTCTCCTTCTGATGCTTCCAGCTGCCATTTTACCAGGCCTCACAACCAGCAACCTGTCTTCACAGGGCTGGGTAAAAAATCCAATCTGTTAAAGCAGTTCCTCTCCAGAGATGCTTTCTGAGACTTTCTCTATATTTTTAGCGTTTTCTGTTTTTATTTCAGATTTCCAGTATTCACAATGTTTTACTTTTGTTGATCAGTAGATAGGAATGGGTGTGTGTTAGAGTGGTGAACATTGACTGTAAGTGATCCACAAATATCTAGGCAGAACGTTCCAACTCTTCCTGCGCCTACACTCAGGGAATTTAAAACAATAGCAATCGATCTTTGTGAGACAGTTTATGACTGTTCGTTGAATGTACACTGACTTGCCTCCCAAGGGTCTGATGACATTGAAGGTACATAAAATAAATAAGCCTTGCTTGTCAACTCTGATAACCAAAACAGAGATGGTTTCTGTTTTACAACTGACTTTCCTAAAATACAAAATGCCATTGAAATCCTCTTTTAGCCACATGCTTCAGGCCCAGCTGATCCACACTGAACTTTCTGTCCTCTCCAGTATCTGACCCTGCTTCCTTTGGATCACAATCTGACTATTGTTGTAACTGTTATTTCTCTGGAACATTAATGAGTGCATATGTTTGCAGTGAAACATAATATGACATTTTATTTAAAGCTACAATGTGGATGCATGTAAGCTTTACATTCAACAAACATGTCAAATGTATGATATTTATACTGGGAAATGCAACAGAATTGGAGGAAGCATATTGTACATTTCACCTGTTGAGTTACACAGGATAGATCTTACACTAGACCAGCTTATATTAAAAACAGGAGTAGGCTATTCAGTCCATCAAGCCTGCTCTCCCATTTAACATGATCATGGCTGATCAAACACTTCAACATATTTTACCCACAGTCTAACTAACTCTTTCTGCTACTGGTAATCAGAAATCTATCAATTTCTAATTTAAACAAACTCAAAGACTCAGCTTCCACAGTCCTTTGGGGTAGAGAAATCCAAAGATTCACAGCCCTCTGAGTAAAAAGATTGCTCCTAATCTCGGTCCTAAATGGCACCCCCTTATTTGTAAATTGTGTTCCCTGGTCCTGCACTTCCCACCCAGGGGAACTATCTTGCCTTCATCTACTCTGTCTAGCCCTTTAAGTACTTTGTTGGTGTCAAGGTGAGCCCCTCTCATTCTTCAAAACTGGAAAGAATGCAGACCCAGTTTTCCCAATGTCTCTTCACAGGACAGTCCTGCCATCCTGGAAACAAGACTGATGAACCTCTGTTGCACTCCCTCCATGACAAAAATAAGGAGATCAAAACTGTGCACAGAGTACAGTGGGTGCAGTCTAACCAAATTCCAAGACAGTTGAAGGAATCTTCACCACTCCTGCACTCAAATCATTGTGCAATAAAGGATAATATTCCATTCACCTTCTTAATAGCTTGCTGCACCTGCATGTGAGCCTTCAGTGAATTGTCAACCAGGACACCTAGGTCCCTTTGTATATCTATACTTTCTAACCTCTTAACATTGAAGAGATAACCTTTTCTAGTCAGTAAGTTCTTGTCATTAAATATATTTGAAAGCAAGTTGGAGCACTGGCTGTTGTTCTATGTGGCCCATTCACTGTATTTCTATTCAGCTGGGTGAGAGAGGTAAGATTTCAAAGGGACCTGAGGGGCAACTTTTTCACACAGAAAGTGGTGTTTGTATGGAATGAGCTGGCAGAGGAGGTGGCAGAGGTGGGTACAATTACAACATTTAAAAGGTATCTTTTAAATGGGTACATGAATAGGAAATGTTTAGAGGCATATGGGCTTAAACGCAGGCAGATGGGACTCACTCAGTTTAGGAGTTGGACCGAAGGGTCTGTTTCTGTGCAGTATGACTCCATGACTCCATGACTCTATGACTGTAAATCATGAGTGCAGCACATAGAAGCAAACTGTGTGCTGCATAAGAGCACAAACTAAGTTTATAAACAAGTTCTTTCTGGACTTTTTCTAAGTGTTACAATTCTGCACAAGATATCCTAAATTTTGTTTGAATCCCAGATGACTTCCCAAATTTGTTATGATCTTGTTAGGGCTGGTTACAGACAAAATCTGAAATTCTAATTATATACTCAGGGGATAAAGGCACAATTTTCCATAGTTTTAAACAAATATAAAAATGTTAACGATACAAATGTTAGAAAAGCAAAGAGTCAACATTATTTGTCTTGAATTCTAAAATCCAGACTTAACATAAGGTTAATGTGAATTAACAGGCAAACTATGATCAAATACAAGCCATAGCTTTTATGTTAAAGGTAAAGACAACCAAGACAGATGTTGCAGATTTTCACAGTAATCCACCCAGACATCAGCTATCACTGACAGTTACAAAATCCTTGAAATGGCCTCATCCTGACAAGGAATTTCAGCTTTTCTTCTTCAAAAAGCTGTTCTGATTCCCAGTACACCACTGTTCTCCTCCATTGAAATGCCACAGACGCAATCCTCATCTAATGGCACATTATGCCAGGTATCTGTTAAATGTCTGCCTTCAGATTCACCTTCTTAGTGTCTTTTTCCCAGCAGAGCTGACCTACTTCTGAGATTGTATCCCATTGCACTTCATTGTCTAAATACAGGCTCCCTTCCAGTTCCTCAGCCAACAATGGCTCACTTCACAGTTACAGAGTCGGGTCTCCCCAAGATAGGTCTACTGAGTTTACCATTACACTCAACACCTAATCAAAATCCCAATTCACTGGCAATTCTGAGCAAGCAAACTGAAGATCTGCTGAACTTAAAATGCACCTCAGCTTCAGCATGCAACCATTGCCCACGAACTGTTGTTCATGTTGCCCCCTTGAACTGACCTGTTAATATTTCCCAACAGGATCTTCTGCCTGACCTGAGGCAAAATCTGATGTGTCCAAACATGACACATTCTGATCTTTAAATGTTACAATACTCAGTTTTGACCTGCACCAAAATCACACAGACAAAAATCCACAACGTAGCTCACACCAGTATTTTTTAAGCCGTATTCACATGCAGAATGGAAAAAAAAGACTCTTCTAGTGAAAAAATAGTGATACTTTAAAATGCTCTTGGATGTTACAGATTAAATTTTATTGAAACCAGCTTTTGATAGAAAATATATAGTTAATACGTATGCAACAAATCTTAGAATGATGTGATATACTTCACAGTGTACTTTGTATTAGCACAACAATGCCCGGCCTCAAAGGATCACTTTGTTTTTCCAAGTCACGGATTTGTGTCTGCAATTTCCTTGATCTTTAATTAGGAAGACAGAGAAAGCCAGTCATGGGTGTCTCCTAAAAGCACTGTCAATAAACACTGCAGTATTTTGTCAATGAAACTTTGAAGTTAAGTTGCCTGCCTTTTGGCTGCAGAATAGCGCTTATTTTGAGTGACATGAGAGAGAGGGAAAGACAAGAAGATAAATTATAAGTGGGGAAAGTTTTAATTTGAAACATCGTAACTGCTCAAAATCAGCAATTGGTTGCGACCTTGTGAAAATTTTCACTTCGCTTGATGGCAACACTCTTTTACTGCGAATGGTTATATTCCAAGCATTTCAACCCATAGTTAAAGAAAATACTGAAAACTAGAATAAATGTATTTGAAGGCAAATAAACATTTTCTCATGTTCAGAATGCATTGGCAAAAGAGTTAACTAAACTGCCTTCGCCATCAGTGCTTAATAGTCAGGGTGACCTTTTTCCTTTCTTTCTTAGTATCCTGCCCTGTTCTGTGCAGTGGCAATGGCCAGTATGTGAAAGGACGCTGTTTGTGCCACAGTGGTTGGAAAGGGGCAGAATGTGACATTCCCACAAACCAGTGCCTTGACCCGTCTTGTGGTAACCGTGGCACCTGCATCATGGGGACCTGCATCTGCAACTCCGGCTATAAGGGAGAAAGCTGTGAACAAGGTAGGTGTCCAATTGCATCATTAATCATTTATTGTCAAAATGTCTGAATTCATTCAGGATGAGGGGTAGAGAATGTAATCCTCCCTCAGACATCTGCCGTAAGAAAAATACTGAAAGGTTACACCCAGTAAAGATAAAATTAACATAACCATTGCAGTCTAGTGAAAAGGCTCATTATAGCATTTTAAAAATTAGGCTGACGGTTTTAGTAAAAGTGAATTTGGACTTGCATACTTACCTATTATTTTCCCTGCATGAAAGCTAAAGCAACTAGTCCCCTAAAGCAACCTAGGCACCCCTAGTGCCCTATTGTTAAGCAATGACTAAGTCATCACATTTTTCTTCCCAGTGGCCTTCAGTTAGGATGATTAATTGTCAGGAAATAGCCTCTTGCCCAGTTAGTTTCTGATCTTTCTTTCCAGGACCACAATCATCTATTATCAGAGAGGAGACTCACTTATTCGGCCTTCTATATTCTAAACACTTTGTACCTCTGTTGAATGATGGTATGATACATAGGCCATGCAAAAAGTATCCTACACAAAAATAGATCTCATGTTGCTTGATCATATGGTTTGCAGCATCACTTCCTTTGTCATTTGTCTGCTCGGTTGACAAATAAATATAGTTTTGAACACCACAGCCACAGTTTAGTTCTTTACATAGGTTTAAGGTGTTTGAAAGCAATACAATATTGTGACCTTTTGTATTTAGTCTTCAACATACACAAAGATGGCAAGTTGATTAATCAAGCCCTTTTGTGGCACAAGTCAGCTGATGTAGATCACCAATTTTGAGACAGAAAATAAAAGCCAAAATTTGTGCTCGTCTTTATAGGAACACGTGAACATATAACATAAGAACAAAAGTAGATCACTTGAGCCTGCTCCAGTGTTCAAGAACGTTGTGGCTCATCTGATTACTCCACATTCCAGTCCACTCCATGACCTTTCACCATCTTACCTATCAAGAATTTGCCTTGCAAAAATATTCAATGTCTCAGCTTCCACCACATTTTGAAGAAGAGTTCCAAAACTATGACCCATTATGAGAAATAAATCTTCTCCTCATCAATGTCTTAAATTCAGCAAGCCTTTATTTCAATCCAATGACCTCTGGGTTCTCGGTTTTCCCATAGAGGAAATAGCCCATTCAATCTGTTCTCAAAAGACAATCCACCCATCCTACTTAATTTGTCCAGTAAAGTTTCCCTGAACTGCTTCCAATGCATTTCCATCTTCCCTTAAATAAGAAGTCCAAACTGTACACAGTGCTCCAGATGAGGTCTCCCCAACGTTCTGTAGAACTGAAGCTTGACTTCCCAATTTATATTATCAATTCCCTCATAATAAACATTATTAATCTATTACCTCCCTACTTCCTTCCATAAATGCATACATGATTCATGCATGATGACACCCAGAATGCTTTACATATCAAAGCTTTGCAATCTTTCTCTGTTTAAATAATGTTGTTTCTATTAATTCTGCCAAAATGGACAATTTCACATTTTGCCACGACACTCTATTTGTCAGATCTTTGTCCACTCATTTAACCTATTTATATTCCTTTGTGGTCTCCTTACACTTTCTTCATAACTTACCTTTTTACCTATCTTCACATTACCAGCAAATTTAGCAATCATACCTTTCATCCAAGCCATTTGTGTAATTTGTAAAATGTTAAGCCCCAGCAGTCATCCCTGTGGCCCACCTCACGTTACATCTTGCCAACCAAAAAATAACTTATTTATGCCTGCTTTCTTTCTTGTTAACTAGCCAATCTTCTACCCATGTTATTATATTGCCCTTCTTTTATTTTTGATAAGAAGCTTTGATGTGCAACCTGATCAAATGCCCTTTGGAAATTTCAACACAGTATATCCGTCTTTCATTTACAGTACATGTTACTTCCTCAATCAGCTCCAATAAATTGGTTATTTGGGAATTTTCATTGCAGAAAACTATATTGATTTTTCTGGATTACCTTGAACATTTCTAAACACCATAAAACCAAAGGTTGTAGGATGCTGTGCTGTACCATCTTTGAAGTAGCTTCTTAAAAACTTCCCTATGACAGATGTTAAGCTTTCCTAGATTAAGGGAACTTTGGAAAATTAAAACCTAGACATCAACAATCTCACCAGCTAGTTCTTTTGAGACCATAAGATGAGGCCATCAGGCTCCAGGATCTTGTCAGACCACAAACCTGACAACTAACCACATTCCTGTTATTATAATTTTCTGGCATTCCTCTGTGACTTCCACTTCCTGATTTACAGCTATTTCTTGGATGTCACTATTATTTACTATACCAAACACTGATGTGAAATACCTGTTCAATTAATTTGGCATCTACTTATTTTCCAACATTAATTCTCCCAGACTCACAGTCTATAAGACCAATGTTCACTTTAATTTTTGAAGTATCTCTAAAAACTCTTAATGCTGGCTGTTATATTTCTAGTTATCTTTCTCTTGTGCTCTAATTTTCCTTCCTTACTAATGTTTTAGTCATTTTCACTGTTTCTAATGTTTTGTCCAAGCTTCTGTTCTGCCACCCATCTTTGCACAATTACAAACTTTTATCTTTAATTTTGACACTACCTTTAGCTTCTTTAGTTCATTTACTTTATTTCTTACCCCACCTTTCAACATTCTTGGATTGTCATGTCATTTGCTGACTTTTCTGTTATTTAGTCCAAAATAGGAGCAGTTAACAGCCATTTTTCATGTATTTTCTCTTCACTATATTTGTACTGACTGCTCTGATTGCCACAGGCTCTGCACTCTCACCATTAGTTACATGCAGAGGGCATTGATGGAATTCCTGGCACAAGGAGTGAAGCAGCACCATCAACATGTGTCTCAATATTATCTGCTACTATGAGGGTAACTTGCACAAAAAAAAACAACTTGGTATCTGGATAAAATATGGGTGCCTGTACACAGAATAGAATTTTAAATAATTTAGTTTCAGAAACCAGCTTAAACACAAAACAGTGTGCAGCTTCAATGTTTTATAATTCATCATCACTAATGAAACTGTTAAGATTTGAACATAACAGACATGACAGTCTGTTGTAAGTGGAACTCATTTAAGTATTGGGAGTTAAATTGCATGACAGCGCTGACATTTTCCCATGCTCGCTCTTTTGCAATGGAGTGTGCTTTCTACTGAAGTGCCCTGCTGCTGTGCATTCATCTTCACTCCCTAAGGCCAGATGGTCTGGCAGTGGATTTCTGTACAGCTACTTAGATCAATTTTGCTTTAGGATTGACAGTGCAGATAAGCAAGTTCAAGTGTCAGTCTGTGCTGAAATTTGAAGTGTCCGAGTTGCCTGGTAATTTTAGCAGCAGAGAATTCAAATCCCAGAGTCACTTGAACTTGCCTGCATTGATGCGAGCAATTTAGCCAGTTCACAAGTGGTTTCTTGGATATGACAAGAGGCATCAGTGCAGAATGCCAGAGGGACGACTACCAGAATTGTTCACAACTTTAAAGTGCAAATCATATACATTTGAAATGTATTCCATGGTATTGTATTTGCAATGTTTGAAAGTAGGTTTGTGAAAGGTTGAACCCAATAACCCTTTTGGCAAAAGATGTTTATGCATCGGCAGAGACACCTTTTTTACAAACAGAAGCATGGGCTGGAAACTCCTGTTCCTGGAAGTGATGAGCTTGAAGGCGGGAAAGGACCTTAATAAGTCAGGGTTCTGGCATATACTAACCCATTGTGTTCCTGCTGCATGATTGGCAGCCACTCAGCCAACTAATGCGTGACCTATGACCTGCATAAAATGTCACCTGTTGCAATTGACACCTTCCCTATCCTTGCTGTCCCTTACCCTTTCCCCTTCTCTCTCCAGCTGCTCTTGTCCCCTCCTGCAAAATGGGTTTCATGTGCCAATTTTGAGATTCTGTTGCTGTGTGTGAAGGGTGTTGGTGGCTCTCAAAACCAGTTCAAGTAGCAGCCATCTATTGTGGCCACTTATCAGCGTATGTTCTTTCAAATAGGACATTGAACTGCAATTTCACCACACCATCAGGATATGTAAAGTAATCTGAAAGTTATTTAGGCCTTTATGAATAAAATGTTTAATACAACACATGGGGCAGAATTTTTCCCTCCCTGGTGGGTCATGGTGAGAATTGTGGGAAAATATGGTGAGAATGCAAATATCAGATTCTTAACATCAAGAAAATGTTTTCGATTTTCCCCGAAAGCCTTAAGTCGTGACATCAGAATGACGACCATCTTACTTCCATGCATTTGCATCTTATTAAAACTCCAACTCGCCTTATTTATGCACAACCTCCATTTCTGTTTTTCTCCACTGAGAAACTAAATGGTGTAAATGCTCGACATGTATGTTTAAGAGGGTACCTGTGACTGTAGTTCACCGAACTCTTGTTCTGACCATCATGAGGCTGCTTGTTCTGTATTATCTCCCTGTGTGCCCCATGCCATCATCTTCCTAAACCCTTCATCCACTCAACTGAGTAGTGGCAAACCATCAACCTCACCACATCATTATTTCTGCTCTCGTACTAATTGGACATCCTTTCAGTCCTTCAACGCTTCACTTTGGAGGCCAAGGACATCTGTGACTTGGAGATTACTGGCCTCTGACCATTTCAGTGGCTTTCTTAGCCCATAAATGCTTACTTAAAGGTTGCCAGTCTCCTTGGCTCGCATATCATTTTAGTGCTGAGGGGGAGACAGGCAGTAGGTGATGGTGGGAAACACTGTACAGTCAATCTGTCAGTCAAACAGAGCGTTGAAATGTCGTTGCGCAGTACCATGCTACATCAATGATAGGATAAAACAAAGGACTGCTGATTCTGAAGAAGGATCACTGGACATGAACATTAACTCTATTTCTCTCTCTATAGATGCTGCCAGACCTGCTGAGTTTCTCCAGCAATTTCTGTTTTTGTTTCAGATTACCAGCATCCACAGTTCTTTGTTTTCTTTTATCCTTAATGTGCTTGAA